AAAAGATTTGTACTTCTTCTACATAAAGAGGACTGTTGCTCCCCAGGGTGAAAAGCTCGGTCTAATGAACCCTTTGCTTAACAGCTCGTTCAATTGACTAGACAGTTCTTGCATTTCTGCCGGTAATAGGCCGTCTGGGGATTTGGCTACATGGGTAGCTCCGGTTACCAAGTCGATTCGAAATTCGACTTGTCGTGCAAGTGGTACACCTAGAAGGTCTTCTAGGAACACGTCGACAAAGTTGCAGATCTTCGGGATGTCTTTTATATCCTTCAGTTCGTGTTTCTTGTCTACCACTTTGGCTAAGAAGGTATGGTATTCCTTTCGGAGGTACTTTTGAGCCTTGACGTAAGAAATGATCTGTAAATTTGTACTAGGTTTATCGTCGTAAATGAGAAGGGTTTTTCCAAATAGCAGATTAAGGCGGACGACCCTTTCATAACATAAAATGTCGGCATGATGAGAACTTAACCAATCCATACCAACGATGATGTAGGAACTTTTTACCGTGACTAGCATTAGGTCGATTTTGAACGAATGATTGTCTAGAGTGAGGGTACACCCTATGTGTATATCACTAGTGCGCTCTGCCGTTCCGTTTTCCATTTCTAGCACATATGAATGTTTTAGTGACTAAGGATTTTGTTTAAGTAATTGTTTGTATTAATGGCTCACGAAACTCCTCTCTACCCCACTATCGAAAAGTATGCATGCATATGAGTTATTGAGGAGGAACATACCGGTAACCACCATGGGATCCTTGACTGCTTCTCTGTGTCCTATAGCCAGAACTCTTCCTACACCCCCAACATTGGCATTTCGTTCCTTTGGGAAGTCTCATTTGAAGTGCCCCATTTCCCCATAGCCACAACAGACTCGACTTTCTTCGGTGTTAGTGACTTGAGTGATGGGCTGGGCTAGCACTTTACAGAATCGAGCAGTATGCGCCTTCTTGTTGCAATTGTTGTAGTGCATTTCCCAACAAGCACTGGTGTGGGGGAATTTGCACTTGTTGCACTTGGGAAGGGTTCCCGTATATTTTTTTAATGGTGTTGGAGTGGCAGGAGTACTGGCAGCATGGAAAACAACTTCCTGTTGCTTCTTGGCGGAGTCTAGTATTAACTGTTTCTTCTTGTTGCTCCAAAATTTTCTTTTATTGCTTCCCCCTCTTGCTTGATTAGGGGCGGTGATCACAGTACCATGGTTGGCCCTATGATCGATAAGTTGTTCTGCATATTCCTTGGCATTGTTAAAAGTAGTGGGTCTTGAGGCCAGCACACTATCTTGAATCTGAGATGATCGTCCCCAGAGGTATCATTCCATCTTCTTCTCTTCTGGAGTGACTATTGTTGGGAAAAGAAGTACTAGGCCATCGAATCAGGCAATACAAGTTTCAAGGTCAGAGCCCGACATCTTGAATCTCTAGAGTTCTTGTTCAAGTTTTTGCACCTCGCCCATCGGGAAATCCTCCTTTAGCATCATAGTCTTCAATACCTCTCAGCCCATGGAGTTAGCCACTGCAAGAGTAAGTTACTTAGCTCGGCCATTCCACCAAGTAAGGGCCCTGCCGGTGAAAGTGAATGTCACATACTTGACCTTGCTCGTTTCGGGACAAGCACGAACTTCGAAGACTGCTTCGGTCCTCTCGAGCCATTGCATTAGTGTGCTGATACCCCCACTTCCATTGAAAGAATCGGGCTTGCCATTGGCAAAGTCATTATAAGAGCACTCTTTTGTACCCTCCATACTGTCCCCATCATTAGAGTGTGTAGCACCAGATCCAGAACCGCCGACACCATTGGTACCCATTTGTCACATTGCAGCTGCCATGACCGCTGTTACCGCAGCTTGAAACATCATGGACTCAAACTATGGAGGTGGTAGTGGAGGAGGTGGTGGTGCTGCACTGCTGGAAGGTCTGGGATTTTTCCTTAGCAGCATAGTTCAGTCTTAAGTTTCCAAGACGAAAAGTTGGTGAGTCTTCAATAATAAGGATGATTCAGGTGCTATTTCAGCTACATTATCTCTACAATGTCCCGAATTTTATTGTATTGGCAAGCAATTCATAAATAAATTCTATATAAGTAAACTTATGAATTTAGTAATAGTGACTCAACCGAACACTTGTGTTCTGCTCTATGGCTGATCCACTCCTAAAATTCACTCGTCGTACGCCAGTTACATGTAATTACATTTTTATAAACTGTTGAACCTAATGAGTTCGTCCTAAGTCCACAACCAAACAAGGAACATGTCCTAAGGCGGACTCACCATTTTTAAGTCGATCACCCATTAATTACATATAACTTCTAGGTACACCTTAAGAATTTTAGAGTTATCATATGCAAATTGATTGTATTATCATGTTATGAGATCCAATGCCAAACATCCAACAAAATAAGTGCAAGTCAATTTCATTGATATAACTTTAGTACATATTGCTTAAGAAAATTTGACCTCATAGGAGGTCTACATTGTTGGATTAGTGTCTAAGTCCATAACTATTTTGGTATGCACTTGACCCGATGGTGCATGGTCCTTTTGGGTTGCCTTCACCAAAGCAACTTGATAGGATGAATTATGGAGAGAAAGGATTAAGTATGATTTATTAATGTATTATGAGAATAATATATTAAAGGAGAAATCATATTGTTTAATTAATATTAGTCAATAATTAATTGGTAATTAGTTTTGTGACTAAAAGAGATTAATTAAACTTAAGGGACTGGAATTTTAATTATAAGATAATTGAAATTTGGGCTATGGATTGCCTTATATTAAGGAGTGGACGGATTCGATGGGAAAGCCCATGAGGAAATCGTCCAAGGTCTTAAGGAAAGGAATCTATGGGTTGCTTAGGGCTTAAGCATCAAATTTAGGGTTTCCTTGTTAGATATCCCTAATAGCCTAAATATATATACATCCCTTATGACCCAAAAATGAGGCTAAGCATCCTTATAGGGTTTCACATGTTTTAGGGCAGCCTCCATCCTCTCTCCTCTTCATCCTCTTGCTCTTGGTGTTTGTGAACCATTAGAGGAGTGACATTTGTGACTCTGAGATTTCTAAAGTCAATACAAGGAGGAATTGAGATTGTTATTGCTACATAACAATCAAGGTATGATCTTAAACCTATTCTTATGTTAATATGATTACTTGTATGCTAGAATTATGGTTTATAGTCTTGGATAACTTGCATGTACAATAGAGAAACCTAGATCCAAGCATTAGGGTTTGTATGAGCACATAGGATGCTCTTATGACTAAAACCCATAAGTGATATCAGAGCCTAGATTGGTTTCTATTGTATTGATGCCTTGTATGTTGAAAAGATTTGATTTTTGTGGTTCTGCATCATAGACTCGGCGAGTCCCACTGTGGACTCGGCGAGTTGCCCCTACTCGGCGAGTCCAAGGGGGTACTCGGCGAGTTCGAGCGTCAGATGGAGCTATTTCAGGATTTCTTGCTGTTTATTTTTGAAATACTTGCCTTTATCATATTAGATCAATATAAATCCGATTTTATGATATATATGAGTATATTCTTGATCTAATTAAAGATATTTATCAATTAATAAAATATCTATTTCCTTATGTGATAATTGATTAATTATTTTGATTAAATTGGTAAATTGTTTTGCAAGAAATCATTAAATAAATCAAATATGGATAATTATGTGATTAAATGTTAATTTAGATTATTTGTTATTTGATCCTTGTTGTTATGAAAAGTTTCATATTTTCCCCTTTAGGTTTTATAGTTTAAATTTGAACCCAAAAGTTTTGTTGTTTTAAAATTTAAATAGTTGAAACCCTAATGTTTTGAAAAATGTTTCAAAAACTTGCCCTCATGTTTCGGAATTTAAATTTTGATTAATAGTTTAATTTTGATGTATATTTAAATTCTAAACCCTTATGTTTTTGAAATGTTTCAAAACCTGCCCTCAAGTATTGGAATTTAAAAGTTGATTAAAAGTTTAATTAGGAATCTTAAATTCTAAAACCCTAGTAATGTTTTGAAAAGTTCAATTCACACCCTTATTGTTTTATTAATTAATTAAGTTGTATAATTAAAAGAGGTTTAATAAATCACTACTAGAAAAAAGGCCTTTTATGACGCTCATTGCGCGTCGTAAAACGCTCAGACGACGCGCAAATGCGCGTCAAGGAAGGCCCTGTCATAAAGAGAGACGATGCGCATTTACGATGCGCATTTACGATGCGCATTTACGACGCGCGTTTACGACACGCAATGCGTATCAAGGAAGGTCTTGTCATAAAGGAAGACGACACGCATTCGCATGTCGTAACCTTACGATGCGCGTGTTAATGACACGCAATGCGTATCAAGAAAGGCCCTGTCAAGAAAGGCCATGTCATAAATGAAGATGACACACATTTTTGCGTATCATAATTTCAAATGTTTAAAAAAAATATTTTTAATAGATTTACTAATTTTTAAATTAAATTTGAATTTAATGCCTCATAATAGAAAATAAAATATCATTAACAAAAAATATAATCCATTTCATAAAATTTAATGTCATATACAAATAATCATTCCAATAGTAAGTAAATGTAACACATTGCTAATATTGCATAATATTTATTATTGAAAACAAAACATGTACAACATTAAAAGAAACCCTTGAATAAATTCTCCTTTGACAATCACCTTTGACAATTTTCTTTCTAAAAGAATAACCTGAATGCAAGAACTTTGAGAGGCTGCAAGGCACTAATATGTCAAATTTGTTTGTCTGCATGTTTTCAGCCAAATATAGGAAATTTCAGGAGTATGTATACATGTCATTTACATATATATATATATATATATATATATATATATATATATATATTGACATAACATAAAGCATACATTGACATAACATAACTAATTCCAAACAATTCAAACATGACAAAGGGAAAACAAAGGTGGCATACCTGATGCATTCACCCTCATCTTACAAGAAACCCTGCATTTGCTTCAATTTTCCAATTTCACGTTTCAGGTATCGATTTAAAGAATTGGTGGGGTCGCAAGCATGACGTACCGGAGGGCGTTTCTGTCAGCGATCGATACGCAATCGTACCCCGTTTGGGATCGAGCCGTTTGGAACGTGGATCGTGACTACTTTGGCGAATCCTGTGACTATGGTCCCCAACTCCTCCACGACTCCATGGAACATTTACACAATACCCTTCTCCACCCATGGACCCCACCTGATAACATATATAAGAGTGAAATGACCATTTTACCCTTCTCGATGTAAAAAATGAGAGAGAAAAAAAATTAGGGTTATGTTTACCTCATGGGCAACGCCTGTACCAGGGTAGAATTTTCCACCTTCATGTCTATGTAAGGATATATACAACACCTATAACAATTAAAACCAGTATCATCAGAAATAGTCAGATAGTAATCTACAATGTTATTTATGATTTAAAATAAATTAATCAACTATATTGTTTTATATTTATGTTGAGTTTCATTTTTTTTATAGGAGAATGAATGATAGTTAATTTTACATGGCCTCCTGCAATTTATTACCAGGAAACACTTATAGTGTTTATGTTTTTTTTAAATATCACAAACTCTTTGTGGTTAACCAAGAAAAAAATTATTTCTGTGGTTAAACCAAAAAAAATACAGAATATGGAGTTAACCATATAATAATAATATCATTAAGTTGAAGAAAGTAGTATCAATTATTGCACGAATAAAAATAATAAAAATAAAATTACTGTTTTGTTCTGCTCAAATATTTCTTGAGTTCCATTTCCATGGTGTACATCCTGTAAATAAATAAGGTTAGATAACTACAACTCATAGTTTTTTTTTTTTAATTACAAAGATTATTACCCAATCAACAATCAAGACTTTTTTTGCTCCTGCAGCTTGTGCTGCTGATGCAGCAATGGCTGCATTGTTATGCAGACAGAATCCCATTGCTTGTCTCACTCCAGCATGATGACCTGGAGGACGCACCTGACCCATGACCCATGACCCATGACCCACGACCCATGATCCATCAAACATAAAGATTAATGTACCTAGCAAATAACTGTTCTCTAATATTACAAATTTTATAAAATTTTAATTTGCAAAACTAAAAGATTAAACATAAAAGCTCATTAGAATCCAAATAACTGTTCTCTAATATTACAAATTTTATAAATAAAAATGGGTTATATTGCAAATTTTCATTCCATTCCTTCAAAATGAGAATTTACAAAAGAGAAGGAATCACACACACCTGCAGTTGCCAGGCTGGCAGCAATTGCTCGAAGACGATCTGGTCTTTCTGGATGAGGAAGAGACTTCCTTTCAACCTACAAATTATAAAGATCAAAAAATGATGACATCAAAGTTTTTTATTTATAAAACCATCAAGACTATTAAAAATAATTTTTTTTTAAAAAATGAAAATTGAAATATCGGGAAGAATTCTTACTTCAGAATGAAGCAACATCCTGTCATCCAAATTAACAAAAGTAAAGGTCATATAAAACTATGTTAAAAAACATTTGATGTATAAAAACTAAAAAGAAACTTTTGCAAGGTCTTACAAAATTCTTCATTTGAAGATGACACTAACAAAATACTACCAAAAAATCATATCCAAAAACCACAAAAGAACATGCTTCATACCATCCTCAGTCAAACAAACTGAATCCCATATCCTGCAAAAAAATATGAAAAAAAAAGATAGTCAAAAACATGCAACCATAAAAAAAAAGTTTAAAAACAAACAATGAAGATCAATGGATATAAAAGAGCTTACATCATCGGACTCTTCTTTCTCTACAACTTTCTCCTCTTTCTTTAGCTCAGCTGCAGCGGGAGCAGCACCACTACCACCTGTGGCGGCAACTGCAACACCACCACTGCCACCTGAAGGAACAGAAGCCAACTTCTCCCTTCCAGATGCAATCAATTCGGTGATATCTTTACCCTTAACCTCTGACAAGAGTAATTCAACTCTATCTTCATCAGCATCAGCTCCAACTGCATTAGTGAATATGATCATTATAATTGCCATTAAGCAAATCATACAGTTTATGAAGTTCAGGGTTTACATGGATGCAACATGGCACCTTAATTAGTGAGGACTGTTGGAACAGGTCCCAACCTTCTCACTCACACAACACAGATATATATATATATATATATATGTATGCAGAAAGCAAATATAGAGATATGAAAGTACTTTGGACTCAAAGCTGCTGCACACTGACTTCTCATATTCAGAAAACAAAGGCTATATATATAGCCTGTAGTACATATCCAATGGAAACAAACTAAAACAGTCTACAAGGTTCTTATCTCTTGATCTTGCTAAACTTACTATTTTCTTCCTTGATTCGAACTTTCTTGTTTGGTCACTTCGAATCTTATTACTTGCTATTCAAACCACTTAGGTTTGATCTTGCTATCTTGCTTCAATCTTCCTTTATCTTGCTTAGACTCTTGCTGTACCTTGCTTCAATTTTCTTTCCTTCTCGATCAAAAGTGATCGCTTGCTGCTTCTTTCTTCTTTCTTGCCTGCTAGCATGTCACACAGTTGTGTTGTTTTTCTTCTTCTTCTTCTTCTTTCTTTTGATCACAAAGACCTAGCACCACCGAGTCCTTTTTCCTGCTTCACTCTCTACAATGAATCTATCTCTCGGCAATGGAGGTGATCGGCTCCAACAATGATCGACCTCTTCTCTCTTGTCTCTCTTATTTCTTCTTTCTACTTTCTTCATTCTTCTTTCTTCTTGTCTTTCTTTCTTTCTTCTGATTGTTGCCAATCAAACATTCTTTCTCTTGCCGACCTGCTGCTACTTCTACTGCTCTTGTTGCCCTGCAGCCAAAAGATCCTCCCTCCAAAAGATCCTCCCAAAATCATCAATCACAATTACAGAAGTTACAGTTAGATATTCCACAAAGTCCAAATCTAGAAAACGAAGATGCTCACATAAAGCCCAATCACGATGGATCAATGATTTCAAAAGCGAAATGACAGATTAAGGGTGAATCAAATTGTAAAAATTATCTATTTCTAAGCGAGCATCCGAGTGTAATTAAGATCTAAGCCGCATCACAACAAATCAAATATTCAAATTAACGAAACTTACGAGAGATTGGACTTGTCCGTACAGTTTTGTTCCAGTGGCGGATGAGGCATTTTATCAAACATGTTGCGTGCATCATCGATTCTTCCCCATTTACTGTATAAGTCGATTTCTCGATTTCTATTTCTCTTTCTCCCATTCCAGTCTCCGACTTCCTGTTGCTGTGATAGAGAGTTTCCTTCCGTCGCTGGGATTTGAGTAGTGCCACCACTCCTCCGAAGCCTCTGAGTTTTCTCGGTCTAGGTCACCAGACCTAATGTTGCTGGCAAGGGCAGGCGAGGTGAGATTGCCGGAGATGAGGGGCTCCATTGGCTGGGTGACGCTGGAAAGCGTTGGACGGTGGGGCAGGGCTAGACGGAGGTCAGAGGTGGGAGGCGCCAACACTAGGAGAAACATCGGAGGTGGGAGAAGCTGTCGACGTCGAGAACCGAGAAGAAGAGAAAGGGTTTGTCGAAGTGAGAAGGAGAGAAAGGGAAGTTGAAGAGAGAATGAGCAGTACAGGAGGGCATAATCGGGGCAAGTTCTTGAAAAAAAAGCCCTAGCTACTAGGGAAATTAAAGTGGAGGGAGAAAAAAAAAAGGAAGGCGGGGATTTTAAGTTTTTGGGATTTCATTTTCCCCGGATGGAACGCGCGCATTCTATTAAAATTTATAAAGCGACGGTCGTAGACGACACGCAGGTGCCCTCCGTGTTTTTATTTTTTTTTGTTTAGACACTAATTTTAGGGCACGCAAAAATGCGCGTCTGAAATCCTTTAAATTTTGGAAGAGATGACATTATTTTTTAGACACTCACCTTTGCGTATCATAAATCACTGCGTGTCATGGTTCGCGCGTCGTAAAAGGCTATATTTCTAGTAGTGAATCCATAAAAGTTTTGGTTTGAAATTTAATTGAATTAAAAGTATAATTATTAATTTTAACCACCTAGTATTTTAAAAGTGTAAAATACACCCTATATTATATATATATATATATATATATATATATATATATATATATATATATATATATATATATATATATATATAACATTAAAAGTCAAACATTATATATATGTATGAGTAAAAGTCATTCTTACCGTTAGTAGGCCTCATTCATGAAGCTGGTCTATAAGGGGTGTTTAAGGAAATTGCCTATAATATGGCCATTGAATGGGTATCCACTCTTACCCACCGCACTCTTGACTAGTGGAGGGTCGTTAGCCGAACGGGTAGGATAGGACGAAACCTTCCATTATAAGTATAATAAAATACAAAGTAACCAAATGTTTTCAAATTCCCAATCTTGGTTACTTAGGCAAAAGTGAATTGATGCAATTCCATGAAATTACACTTTGTGCCCTTGCGAAGACGTTAGTGGAGCGTGTGTGGTTTACCGTCACACTAAATGGTTCTAAGAAAAGGTAGCAAAGGGTGCCTCAATATTTGTCATAGTTCGGCCGAGCGTGTGTGGTTTACCGGCACATCGAATAGGTGACTGTAACATGTGAGGGGACCATGTATGTTAGCATGGTTATTCACACCCGCTTTGTGATCCTCGACATCCCAGTCACAAACTGCAGGGGCATATCGAGATTTAAACATGCCATTGAAATGTTCAATGAATCTCAAAGGATTTAGGAGTTTTCATAGATTTAAAACTTATATTTCTTTTTTGTTTTTCATGGTGGAAATTAGTGAATCGTCATTCACTTACCTTCAAATATTTTGCAACTAGATTACGGCATCCCTTTTCTAGGTTGTAGCGTATTGTGTTGGGTCCTAGCCTTAGTATCTCATTTGGGTGATTTACTAAGGACTCAATCGATCAACTAACTTGATTTCATTTCCTCCCACTTTGTAGTGGTCAATGTTCGACAACTATCGTCTTCCCAAATCCCGTGGAACAAGCATTCCACATGAAGATGGTATTCCACGACTCGATCGAAGAAGAAGATATCATGCTTCACTTCCTCCACCTCCTCCAATTGTTCTCCCTAACCCAAAAGATCGAAGAATTGAAAGGTTCAACATCACTAAATCCTTATTGGAAATGAAACATGAAGATGGTAAACTAGTGTGTGCCCACGTTCTAGGAATGAAATCACACATTAATAGGTTGATAATGTTGGGTGAGTCATTCCCGAATGAGTTGGCTGTAAATTAGGTTTTGTAGTCACTTCCTGAATCATATAATGAGTTCAAAAGAAAGTATTATATGATGGATCATGACGAAAACCTCATTGACCTAAATTACATGATCATTACTACTGAATCAGAAATGATTTGGTGAAGCAATGAAGCGTATTTGTTGGGAAAGTCAACCGACCATGCTTCCGAGGATGTTCTAAGAGAAGTGACCTGCGTTTGCTGCCAAGAGAAAGGGCATTTGATAGAAGTCTACCCCAAAAGCCTCAAAATTCCAAAGATGGGAGAGTTAAAGAGTATGACCGCGCTTCAGGTAAAACTCCACTATCTAACTCCATTAAGTTCCTATTCGTTGATTCTTAATAAATGATGTGATAAGATTGCATTTGAATGTTTTGCAGGATCGGTGAAAAGAAAGGAAGCTTGATGAAAGAGCAAGATGAGTCTAATCACAAAGAAATGGATCTCGATCGCATGGACTTGAAGATTAGATTTTGAGCTTTGATAGTTATGATAGAGTTGTTAGAAATTTTCTTTTTGAATACATAGTTTTCAGTGGATTTTGCATTGTAAGGACAAATGTTTTCCACTACTTTTATAAATAAAATAAATTTTGTTTGACTTATTTATTTATTTGTTTATTTCCTTGCAATGAAATCGTTATGAAAATTGATGTTTACATATTTCTACAACGAATGGATATGATTCTTATTTATGGTGTTTATGGAAAGGTCGAGAATTTACCAAATAGGGAGAGTTTCTCATCATCCAAGTTTCAATTGGATAGAAATTTGGAATCATGCAACTTGGTTGCATGATGAATGAGAAATTTCATATTTGGAAATTAGACTAATTCATTGACAAAGTGTCAAGTGAAGGACTAGGCAATCGAGTACACAATGTTATGTGTTGGTCAAAGTCCACCATAATAGTAACAAGACATTCATCATGATTTATTAAAAGTTTAGTAAATATGATAAGATTAAGTGTAATTCGGAATTGATTAAAAAGGTTTAAATCAATAGCAAAATGAATAAGAAGAATCAAGTAGGCAGAAAGATAAAAGTTTCTCCATTCTAAGAAGAAGGGAGAGTAGCTTTTATGCTTTATGATAAGTCTTAATGATTAAGAACCATATCTTAATTGATCCTATAAGTGAGTCTTAGCACAATTGTATGTCTAAGAAGAGGAATCAAGAATTGAAGAAATGGTTAAATCAAAAGGTCAATCGTACTTCGTTCCAATAACAAGTCTTAAAGTTAAGATTGTGACGTCGAGTGAAAAAGTATTAATAAGGTTTATAACATTCATCAAATGTGGAAAGTTTTGATGTCTTGTATACAACAAAGACCAACTAGGACCAATTTATGAAGTGTTTTGATATAAGCTACACTAACTCTTGAATAATTGTTTGTCAAGAAATGGTTATTGACAAGAGAATCTTATATGTCAAGGAGTCAGTGGGAGTCCTAATGGTCTTGAAAGGTTTCAAAAACAAATCAAATAAACCTTATCACTCATCACTAGCACACGAGTTAAGGTGTACAACCTATCATGTTGACGTTATAATGTTTCTGTGCTGTTCCAATTGAGTTAATTATGCATGTGAGTTCTATGAGTTCTCATTTTGAACGCATAAAAGGCAAGGCACCTTGTGTCACACCCCCAAACCAGAATGGCGGAAACATTCGGGGGCGGAGGACGTATTGTTCAGTATCATAACAGTTCATAGAAAGGAAAGTACACACCACTATACATATATAAAGGTTTTAAAAATGTTTACAT